TGTGTGTACGCGGTACACTTCATCTAATTCATTTATTATTTCTTCCCTTTCTCTTTGGAGAGCCTCAGCTATCATCTCCGCCATTATCATTGTCAAATCTTCTTCTCTTTCTTCGGCTACATTTTGAAAACGCAGAAAAAATGCCGCCTTTTCCATCTCCAGCTGGGCTACTGTGTTCTCAAGCTCTTTATTTAATCCCGTCATTTTTATGTCCAACGCTTCCAACTTTTCTTCTGTCAATTCAGTTTTTTGTTCTATTTCTTTTATTTTTTGATCATTTCTTTGAATAATTTCTTGGATCAAGTCCATTTTTTCATCAATTTTTTGGATGTCATTTTTAACTTCCTTCTTTACCTCATCCATATCTTTCCTAGATTGTTCATGATTTCTGGTCATGCACTCTTGCATTTTGACCATTGTTTCTTGTATTGAGATTAAAGTGGCTTGCATTGTTGGCAAACTGGATGTGCTGGATTGTTTCTCTGGTGCAAACATTCCCTCTAGAGTTTTCTGTGATACTGGTGAGGCCGATGGTCCAGCTAAAATTGATGTCGTTTTTTTCGCAGTCTTCAACGTTGTCGTGGTGGTGCTCGTCATCTCTTTCAGAATTCTATATTGTTCCACCAGTATTTTATCAACTTTCTCCCAAATCACCATCCAACTTTTATGTAATTTCTTTCTTTCCCTTTCCTTTTCACTTATAGAGAATTCAATTCAATGGTCCTCATTACTTTATCTATTTTCTTTAAGTAAGATTGCTTTAACTAATTAATTGTCTCTTATAAAATTCTTCTTAAAAAATACAGTAAAAATATATAATATAGGTATTACAATATGTTAATATAGGTTAGTCTAAATAGCTAATTATAGATATAAATAGATATAAATAGATATAAATATAAATATATGAAAGTAGATAATCATAGGCTTTGCAAAGCAATTAATTCAATTAATTCCCACTATTTCCTTCTATAACACTATAAAAGAATTTAAATAGATATAAATATAAATATATAAAAGTAAATAATCACAGGCTTTACAAAACAATTAATTCAATTGGTTCCCACTATTTCCTTCTATAGCAGTACAATTATTATGAATCCTAATTTATTATATACTATCTATTGCATGTACTATTATATACTATATACTAATTTATTTATTAATAAACCCAAATACCACTATGATTCTTAATTCCGATAAATATCAATAACAAAGCAGTTATCTATATGTTGTTGTTGTTGTTGTTGTTGTTGTTGTTGTTTTTAAAAAAAAAGAGGAGAGGATTATATAAGAGTAATATATTTCAATGACTTTCTATGACTTTTATAAGTCTTTTTCGTCGTAATTCCAACAAAAGAAAGGTCTTTCCTGTTCCAATATGGCGATCACCAATCTGCACAGTCACAGTCCACAATTTATTCTTTGCCAAAATACCTCTCTCCTTCCGTTAGAGCAGCCAAAAAAAAGGAGGATATAATAAATGTTCGTTCTCTCTAAGTCTTTAAATCTCTGTACTTCAAATCCACCTTTCCTCACCTTCGTCTTCACTGTTTAAAGTCTTCTCCGCTTGTCTCTGTCTTGTCCTCTTCCTTTCTGCTCACCTCCTCAGTTGCCACCCCCTTGTGCTCTGAGATCTTCTTCTCCGTGCTGCCCCTCCGGAACAATTTTTTCCTCCTCGGGTTTGCGCCAAAGTATTTCAAAATACTCCAAAGTGACAATCCTCGCTTGCTCACCCTCGTCCGTTTTGCACTGTGCTCACTCCTCCGCTTCCCCCGCTGGTCTTAATCGGCTTGTCGGGCCTCCGGGCCAGCTGCGCTCGCAAGCTAGCTTCTTCCCGAGCCTGGATTGAGGGATCTTCTTGGTACGGCGGGAGATCGCACCTCTCCTCACCGCCCCCGAAGTTTCCCCTCTCTATTCCCGATCTCTCCAAGATCGGTCTTCGCTGAATAAGGCACCAAAAGCTCGGAAAACCGGCAACAAAGAGAGAGCGCTTCTCTCCTGTGCCGCCACAGCCCTACGTCACCGCCGGAAGTCAGTGGTAACCAAAACCTTGAAGCGCACCCAGAAGACCCCTGGGACCCAGTGCAGCTCGTGCAGGAGGGGGGTCACATGGGAGCGCCCCGTCTTTCCCATAAGCATGTACTGGTAAAATCTTTGAAAAAGTAAGCCTACAGCCTATCCCAGTGATGGCTAACCTTTTTGCCATCGCGTGCCAGGAGAGGGGGGGACTGGGAGGGTTGCGCACGCACATGCCCACGCGCATGTGTGCGCAACCCTCTCCCCCTTCCCCCCCCGCTCCTGGCACATGATGGCCTGGTCTGAAAAAGCCCATTTCCCAATTCCCAGTGGGACAGGAAGTGACATTTTTTGCTGTCCCCAGCCTCCACAACCTCTCTAGGAGTCTCTAGGAGCCTCTCTAGGAGACTCTGGAGGCTGGGAACAGGAAAAAACGTCACTTCCTGTTCCACCGGGAGTGGGGAAATGGGCCCTTTGAGCCTCCATAGGGCCTCCAAGGAAGTGGGAAAGGCTGTTTTCACTGTTCCCAGATACACAGAGAGGATCTGGAACCAGGTAAGAAAAAAAAACAGGCCTTCCCCACCCCCCTAGGCCCTCCAGAAGCAGGAAACAGCCTGTTTCCCTACTTCTGGTGGGCCCAGAAGGCCCGAAAATCAGCTGGCCGGCACGCGCATGCGCCCTAGAGCTGAGCTGGCGTGCCCACTAATATGGCTCCGTGTGCCACCTGTGGCACGCGTGCCATAGGTTCGCCATCACGGGCCTATCCTAATAAGTTCCTGCCCCAGGCTCTGGAAATAATTCTGCACAGAGAGTACATCTTTTTGGGACACATCATTTGTGCAAAGATGTACAATAGCATCAACATCACGTCCTTACTGGCATTCTTGATTACCTTAAAAATACACCTCTTGTCTCTGCTGGCAGTAACACCTGGCAGACATCTGACCTCTTTAAAAAGCTCCGTATCCTTTCCTAAATTTACATCCCTTACAATTGAATCATCAATCAGAAGGTGGCTTCTCTTTTTGGATATCTTGCTCTTCTTGCATGACTGATGTGTAATACCTGATTCACGCTTTCCCCTATGCAAAAGAAGTTCTTTGTCTCAGACAATGATCCCCTGCTCCTTTGAGTTACTGTCATCACAACTACTTTGATCTGGCACCTTAGTACCCCTAGTAAGGTCAGCAAGGGTACTATATCTGTTATGCACAGCGAAAGCTTTGTTTGTTATCCACAGCTCTCACCCTGCCAGATCCCACGGTTGTTCATACTGCCCTTCTCCTGCAATATATTTCAACGTGTAGTCCTCAATGGAACTGTATCTACATGGAGGGAAGTATGCAGTGCAGTACCCCAAGGCTGTGTTTTAGGCCCAGTACTCTTCAACAATTTCATCGATGACTTGGATGAGGGGATAGATGGGGAACTGATCAAATTTGCAGATTACACCAAACTGACAGGAATAGCCAACGCTACGGAAGGTAGGCTTAAGATACAGAAGGATCTTGACAGACTTGAATATTAGGCGCTATCTAACAAAATGAAATACAATGGTGAAAAAAAATAAGGTTCTACATTTAGGGAAGAAAAACAAAATGCACAGGTACAGTATATGTGGTACCTTGCTCAATAGTAGTAACTTTGAGAGGGATCTTGGAGTCCTAGTGGACAGACATTTAAATATGAGCCAGAAGGGTGCAGCAGTTGCCAAAAAAGCCAACACAGTTCTAGGCTACATTAACAGAAGGAGAGAATCAAGATCACATGAAGTGTTAATACCATTTTATAATTTGGTACGGCCACACTTGGAATACTGCAATAGAGTTTTGGTCGCCATGATGTAAAAAAGATGCTGAGACTCTAGAAAGAGTGCAGAGAAGAGCAACAAAGATGATTAGGGGACTGGAGGCTAAAACATATAAAGAATAGTTGCTGGAATTGTGTATGTCTGGTTTAATGAAAAGAAGGACTAGGAGAGACATGATAGCAGTATTCCAATATCTCAGGGTTGCCACAAAGAAGATGGAATCAACCAAGAAGGTGGAAACTAATCAAGGAGAGAAGCAACTCAGAACTAAGGAGAAATTTCCTGACAGTTAGAACAATTAATAAGTGGAACAACTTGCCTCTAGAAGTTGTGAATGCTCCAACAGTTTTTAAGAAGAGATTGGATAACCATTTGTCTGAAGTGGTGTAGGGTTCCTGCCTGAGCAGGGAGTTGGATTAGAAGACCTCCAAAGTCCCTTCCAACTCTGTTATTCTAATCTTTGTGGTAGAGGGGGGTTATAGCTCAATAGAACAGAATGGCTGAGCTGGAAACCTAATTTCTGTCTGAAGAGCAAAGACTCTAGGTAAGCAATCTGTCCATATAGACTCGTAATTTATTTACAAATAGGACAGTAACCAAATTTGAAAAGAGTACCGCTAAGACAGCTGCAACACAAGTATTGCACTGAACTAAGCAAGACATTCTAAAATAAAATAGAATTGCAATCAGAGATGCACTTACCAAGAATGTACTGCTGCATTTTTAGATTTTTAGCCACTTCCAGGTACTTACCTTGCTCCACTGGACTTCTTCTCAGTCCCACTGAACTCACAACTTCCCAACAGCCTCTGGGAAATTCGAATGCAATGCAGATGCAACCAGCAGCTCAGCTCCCAGGTGCTTACCTTGCTCGGCTGGACTTCAACTCAGTCCCCCTGAACTCACAGCTTCCCAGCAGCCTCTGGGAAATTCGAATGCAATGCAGATGCAACCAGCAGCTCAGCTTTCAGATGCTTACCTTGCTCCACTGGACTTCGTTTCACTCACCCTGAACACACAGTTAGCAGCTCTCTTCCCAGGAGCCTCTAGGAAATTCAAATGCAATGCAACCAGAAGTTCCTTATGTTTTCCTCATTCAGACAGTCTACTCTACTCTACTCTCTTTTGAACAATACCAAACTCATAGCAAGAGGAATGTTGAAATTCTCACCCTAGCTCTTGAAGAGGCAACATTTTCCATATTCTCAATGCTACAAATGCAGTTATATGAAATTTTGCGACAAGCCACCTTAATATAATCCCAGAAAGTACGAGGGCTTTCATAACCAAACCAAGAGATTTGACCTGAAAAATCAGGGAATAGAAAGAGATTAATCATTAAAATAAAGTGTGCAGATCATAAAGTATTTATAAATTATACGATATGATTCTTTGAAGAATTATAAAAGCCTATGTTTAGAAAACAACTGTCTTTAAATGACATAGAAATTACCAACTTTGGGGAGCTAATAGGCATTTAGAAGTTTGAAATTATGATAAATCACTCTTAACAAATGGGATCTTATGGGAACAACAGCCATGTACAAGAAAGCAAGTTGGTAGACTGTGCCACATTCCTCAAGACTCTCAAGAGTATTTTTATGGCTTTGATTTGCCTGTGGAACATTAGCCTATAGGCTATGGCCTACTATTATTTTTATTTTCTAATAATCTTTTAGAATTTCAATTTGCATATGTTCAGCTGGCAATAGAACCCTAACTTCAATTCAGAGAAAGACAAGTTGAAAATCCTAGAACTTATGTATAACAAAGATATACAATTACACCAACTAAATCTCATTACATTTGCCAAAAAAAGAATATTGTATAAGATGGTCTCGTCTACAAAACATGTAAAATCAGATTTCATGTACCTTTGAGCCGATGGCTTAGAATTTGTTCCAAAATAGCTGCAAAATTATTGAATTCAGGATAAGAATCATCAATAGTCTCGAAGCATGAGCGATCAATCAGTGTCTTTATAGAAAACCTAAAAAATTAACATAATTTATCATATATACAAATTTTGAAACATAATTTGTATTTATATAACACATATATAAAATACAAACAAAACATAATAAAAAAGCAAAGGTCGAGGATAAAATTGATAAAAGTGAAAAGTGACACATCTTTAAGAAAGGTGACCTATTATGGACAATAAATTATAAATTAACAATGTCTGTACCCTATAAAGAAAATCTGTACAAAATGTTTCATAGGTGGCACCTCCCACCGGCCAGACTGGCAAGAATGTTCCCCATTACTCCTCCAACATGCTGGAAATATAAACTTCACAAAGGAACCTATTATCACATGTGGTGGACCTGCCCAAAGGCAAAACAATACTGGCAAACGATCAAAACACAAATAGAAGAAATTGCACAACAAAGAATAGAAATGAGGCCAGAAACCTTTCTACTAGGCATAATAAATGAACAATATGAAAAGGAAATAAAATATTTAATCATTCATATAACAATAGCAGCATGAATAATTTTTGCACAAAATTGGAAGAGTAATGACATACCAACAGAAGATAGAGTAATTAGTAAAATCATGGAATGTGCAGAAATGGACAGACTCACAAAGGAATTAAAAAACAGAGAGGAACATGACTACTATCTAGTATGGGAAAAGTGGTACACATGGTTGGAAGATAGAAAAAAGAAAAAAGATTAGGAAGTAAGTGGAGTGACTTAATATAAAAATAGGAACATACACTACTAATGCAGGTTAACAGAGAATTACAAAGATAGATATAAGAGAAAGACCAACAAGGAGGAGTCAAAAGCACAAATAAGAACAGACAGTACAGTTGGGACAAATTGGATAAGATATATATTTGAATTCTTGTTTACATGTTTACACGTTTTGTATGTTTTGTTGTTATTTGTTTTGTCTGTATTTTTAAATAGATAAAAATTTGATTAAAAAATAAATAAATAAATAAAAAAGAAAGGTGACCTATGATTTTTCAAGAACAGAAATAATAATAAAATACAACAACCTCTGCCTAAATTTAAATGTTTTATATAAGCAATCTGTTAAATAGTAGTATTTAATATTTTAAAAAACCCAATATTCATGTATTCTTAGTTTTAGTTGAACTATTTAGCTATTGTATCTAATATTCAAACATATTAACTATAAACAAATCAGAAGCATATATATAGCAATCCACAATATTTCTCTAATTAAATCCAATCTAATACTCAAATCTTAACATCAAAATTTCATTCCCCCCCCCCCTTTTCTCACAGAAAATCTTATAGTGGTCAGTTTCTAAAAACAAACTGATCAAGGTATCAAGCAAAAGTGAAGATTTTTTTTCATTGTTCTACTAACAGATTATTTATGCCCTATTCTAAGCTTAAATGTCTTTTCAGAGCTGTATAATTTTTCATTCCAATCAATATTTACAGTATTGTGAAAACTCATTAGCATCAGAGCGTGTTAATCATAATATCAGAAATACTAATGCTCTGATGGTCATTTTGAAAAATCCTTTCTTAGTGAGCACCTAGAAGCCAAGAGGAACATATGTGACAAATTTCAAATTTGTAGGCTTTATGGTTCTGGAGATTTTGTGATTACGGCGTGAGTGGTTTTCAATTTTATATATATATATGATGAATGAAATAAAGGATAGAAATACTGTAAATTCTACAGGAATCAAAGTAGTTTTATATATCACTTGGAGATTATTTGGTACCTAGACTTACCTAAACATATTTCAAGGCAATATGATGAAAAACTTTAATTTCAAACAATTCTAGTTTATAACCTTTGATAAACTAACATTCTACTCCCCCACCCTGCCTGAAAAGAAATCTGTTCCAAATGCAAAACACAAGCAGACGAGTTTCACTTCTGTTTCAGTTTTACTTTCACAGGAGGAAACAACTTTAATACAGAACACTTGAGCTAAGCCACAGGCAGACTCCTTCCTGTCTCCTTGCTCACACAGCAAATACTGTTTCACTTTCCAAACAGCTCTCTGATGCTAAGAACTTCTACTCCCCCTCCCCACCTGAAAAGAAATCTGTTCCACACTCTGATGCTAAGGAGTTCTACTCCCGCTCCCCACCTGGAAATAAATCTGTTCCAAATGCAAAACACAAGCAGAGGAGAGGAGTTTCAGTTTCAGTTTTACTTTCACAGCAGCAACCAGGGGATAGGATAGGGGAGGCTTCTGTTGGGCAAGGCTGGGGGAAAGAAGGGAATAGGATAAGGGAGGCTTCTGTGGAGCAAGTCTGAGGGAGAGAAGGGGATAGGATAGGAGAGGCCTCTGTGCGGCAAGCCTGAGGGAGAGAAGGGAATAGGATAGAGGAGCCTTCTGTGAGGCAAGCCTGAGGGAGAAGGGGATAGGATAGGAGACGTTTCTGTGGGGCAAGGCTGAGGGAGAAAAGGGAGAGGAGAGGCCGATCGTAACTATTCATTAATTTTCAAGCTGTTTCGATTTATCAAGCCCGATCACATCGTTTTGTAGCGAAGCACGGGTATCCAGCTAGTAAGCTATAATGCAGATTTCATTTTATCATAATGAAAAAAGTAGCATTTAATGAAAATAAGAATGATGAAACTGCAGAAACTTTCAACCATGTTGTACCTTCTACTTACTTAACTTGCTTTAGGAAAAGCACAGTTCTTTGCTCAAGTCAAGACATGCTTCTTTATATTTGCGTTGAGAAGATCAGACTTTGAGACTGAATAACCGCAATGTTGTTCTTTAAATAAGGCATGACCTTCCACACACCTGTATCATCCCATATATTAAAACACCTTATTCTAACTTCCCCTTCAAATGAACTGATTATCCTAAAGGCACACCTATTTTTGTTACACATAAATATGTAGCAGTAATAAAAAACAATATTACATGTAGCTCAGGGTTGAATTGCAGATCTTTAGTGCTTTCTGAGTTTTCTTGCATGTATTTCATTAACAAACTAGGGAACATCATCAGTGCTGCAAGGAATTGGAATTTGCTCTCATTTTTATAAAGTAGTGGCTTGCCCTGTCAGTATTGGTGGGAGTGTTCTTGGAGGCTCCTTGATTAGGCTGTTGTTTAGTGTTAGCTTGTTTCTCTTCATTGTTAGTTCTTTGATTGGGACATTGTTTACTTGTTAGTCTAATGTTAATCTTGGTGTAAATTTCTGCTCAAATGGATGTTAATTGCTGATGAAGAGGCTTTTATAGCTTTGGATCATTTTTTCAATAAATTAATCAAAAACTTACTTGTTCATTTATCTTTTAAATTAAATTCTCTTATCTAGTTTTAAGATTTGTTTGGAGAATAGATCATGTTTTAAGTCATATTTATGTAGAAATATTGAAAATTCCAAAGGGCTCACAAACTTTTAAGCAGGACTTAATGTGCATTCTAAGGGGGAAAAATATGTATATTTTCTTAACCCATCAAAACCTGCTGCTGAGAGAGAATACAAGCTCATTGGTTCTATTTCCTTTTTATTGTCCATTAATAAACCATCAATTTTTGAAAGGTGAACACGGCAATAGAAAACTGTCTCTACTCATGAAAATTCCTGCACAGCATAAAATAACTCTATGTTATGGAAGATATGGAGACCTAGGATTTTTAGTCTTGAGTGTAATCAAGGATATAATAGCTGAAAAGTAGTATAGTGGTCAAAGTATCTGCAGTTAACTCCATTTTATTCATATTTGCTTATGTCATGCATGCAACCTGCAGTCTATTCTATTTCTAAAAGACAGAATAACTAATATATAGGGAAGTTTTATATAGTAAGATTACATATTAGGATAATTTTGCACATATTTCATCAGCATAGAGGAAGAAACAACACAGGTATTAGTCTGACTTCATTTGAAAGTGATAAACTCTTATTTAAAGAAGTAAAAAGACCTGAATTAGACAACAGAACCCTGGAAACGTATATGTACAAGAATGAAATATACAGTACAATATTCAATATCAAATTATCTATGATATGTTAACAAATTAATCATGATAGCTTTGCCCATCTCAGGATTTATTTATTTATTCCTCTTATTTATAGTTTCTTACTGAATAAGATATTTTCAAGGAAACTTAGGAAATATATTAATAAAATAAAGACAAAATTTAAACAATCCTTTCCACACAAACAATATGTTGTGATATTTTCAGGATCAGACTCAATAAATTGTTCAAGAATTAAGAGTTCAAATATATCTCTCTTTATTTACATAAGGCATTCTATATTCACTGAATATTCACAGATAGAAGCACAGAATGAACGTATGCAGCTCCTTATATATACAATGGGTGGAGCTAATTATGGGAGTGGTAAAGTATGAATACATTAAGAAGTGAAGAATAAGTTAACCCCTGACACACTGTTCATATATTATTTACATAATGGAGAATAAGGCATTTACTTGTGACAAATCCCCCTCTAAATGCCGATTCGATATATTACAACAATTACATTCAGATTCAGAACAATATAATACATGTAACTTAGAAGTCAGGTATTTATGTTGCTTAGATGGCAAAGGCTTTGTTAATATGTCAGCTATTTGCTCCGATGTTTCGCAATGAACTGCTTTGATAAATCCATCCTGAGACAACTGTCTCACGTGTTTAAATTTTATATCTATATGCCTGGATCTTTGTCCAATGGCATCAGATCTAGATATTTCGATAGCAGCTTTGTTATCTTCATGCATGATAAAAGGCAAAATGGGTTTTTTCCAAATGTCAGAGAGTAAATCATTGAACCATACAAGGTTATTAGCTGCCTTAGATAGACAAACATATTCTGCCTCTGTTGTTGAAGTGGCTACTAACTCTTGTTTGCCAGTATACCAGTAAACTGGACAGTCATTGAGAAAGAATATATAACCAGATGTGCTTTTTCTACATGAGGTATCTCCAGCCCAATCCGCATCGGCATAACATGTGAGGATGGGCTCTTTGACATTTTTAGGTTCCAACAATAAACAGAAGTCTAAACTATTTTT